GTGGCTATGGAGAGGCAGAGTTCCAGGTCCAGACTCCAACCGTAATTACCTTGTGCTATTTCTAGCCCCCTTAACGGCCATTTCTTGCCCATCTCAGTGTCTGCCCTAAAACCGCGTTACTAATAGCTACAACACTTGGGGATGTATTAATAAAACCCTAGTTATTACCACCTGAAAGGCTAGGAGCGTCCGGATAGCATGTGAGGCCTACAGCTGAGGTTTTCTTGCTTTACTGTAACCCATCTACTTAAATTTACCCCAATGCATTTGAAAAGTACCTTGATTTCTGACTTTCTCTGTTCTGTTACTGTCAGCACTTCATTAAACTATTACTCCATTAGAACATGGAATTTGAGGTAACCTAAAGCTGTGTTCCTAGAACACAGTTATTCATATTTGGCTTCAGAATAAATGATAATTTATCCCCTCGGAGGTGAGATTGGTAGTTTTGAACCCACACTAACTTCAGAGGACAATTGTGAATAATTTTCTTGATGAATTGCGGTGAGACAATCTGCCCTAAATATGGATGCACCATCCCATGGGCTGGGGTCTTGACCTAATGAAATGAAGCAATCTAGCTGAGCATCAGTAACCAGTTGTTTCTTGGCTGCAGATGCAATGTGACCAGCTGCCTCACACTGGCTCATGATGGCACGTGGTCTCCACCAAGAGGGACTGTGGTGGCCTCCAACTGTAAGTCAAATGAACCCTTAGGCTGCTTTAGTCAGGCGTTTGTCACAGCGCCAAGGCGAGTCACAAACACGTGGACATACATACCTGAGGAAAATAGTAGCTGATTTTTCACATTTTTCTTCCTATTAAATGGGATCTTTTCTGATCTGCATTTCTTCCAGCTCATGGTGACTTCGAGATGAAACAGACCGCCCAGCTGAAACACAAACTTCAAAATGGTTCAAGCTTTGACAGCGTCTTCACAGGGGTCACAGATTGTACAGAGGAGAAGACGAATAGGAGTCCCGTAGGCCCCCTTCCTCTTTCAGCTCCAGCCTTGCTCGGGCTGGGATGTTCTGAGTAAGCAGACGGTTTTTCCACCAAACATAATCGCCTCAACAACAAAAGCAGAGCATTATGAGGCAGACACTCATAAATAAAACTTACAGAAATTATCTCCAACCCCATGGATGCTGTGAAAAACAGGTTCTATCCAGATATTGCTTCTAGGGAAAAAACATCTTGGACAGACCTGGGATATGATATGCTCAAGCCCAGAGTTTGAAGGAGAGATAGAATTCAAATGTAGTTGTCAATATCTCACAGAAGGATTTGCACTTGGGGATTCAAAACTGTGTCTTTCTTACATTGGTGTTAAAAACGTGTCTTCCTTTAAGGTGGAGGTGGTAAGGGGTGGTGAATTTACATGGAAATTTGTGGGAAAATAACTGAGTAGTAGTTTGAAAACAAAAGGGATTTGTGAAGAGAGATCCAAAAGCAGTATAGGAAGTTTATCTACAACGAGACATCTCTGTACGGTTCCTTTCGGACACCCCTTCCCCTGCCTCCATTCTTGCCTAATATGAGCTGACATAGGCACACTCTAATTGGCCAGCGGCCTGTACCTCAAGGGGATTGATTGCTGGTGCTTCCTTCCATAAGAGCACCCCTGATTCAGGGGCTGGATTGAAGCTCAACAGATGCTAGCTATGAGGGAGGCATGAGGCAGGGCCATGAGCTACAGGCTGTGTGGGTGGGTGTACAGGGTAGGGACTGGCTCAGAAGCACTGCCACCTCTGGGGCAGGAAGAGGATGGAGTTCGAGGCCCTGCAGGTCTGAGTTAGATATGCCCCATGTCTGAAGGACACACAGGGCACAGACGTATTTTCAGTGGATTCTTTCTCGTTCCACAGTGTGCTGCAGGGAGCCAGGTGGTGGGCTAAGGCAAGGTTTAGACCACCTGGGATCCTTGACTCTTGGAAAACCTAACTGAGCAAAAGCGAAAGTTAAAAAGAGAAGTTTCTGTGTGACTGCCACACAGGCCTTAAGAGAACACAGGAAGTTGTGAGCTGGGAGGGAAAACAGTGAGGTCCTGGGATGGAGGAAGCAAAAACAGTAAGGGAGAGAGAGGAAGAAGTAAGCGGGGGTGGGGTGGGGTGGGGTGGGGGTGGGGAGTTGGAGTGGGGTGGGGGGATGGGGGGAGGTGGGGCAGGAAACAGGTAAGGGTTGGGGAGAGACAGAAAATGACCAGGGAGGGGATAAAACGTGTTTCAGAGAAACTGTCAGTGGGGTGGACATGAGACCTTGAATAGAATGTGTTGTATTATTGCTTCACAGTAAGGAAGGAAAGCAAGTCTTCAGGTGTGAGATCTTGACTTCTCCAAGTACAACATGGGTTAGTCTAGGGTAGCTACAGGCATGTCTTGGCGGAACTGGTTCATGGACTGCAGGTCGATGATGTAGGGCGCCAGCCGGCTGTCCACCTGGCCCAGTACCACGCTGCCCCCGGCTCGGGGACCCGCGCGCACCACCGCCTCGATGTGGTGACTCACGGCCGGGCTGTAGGGACGCCAGCGGCCGTGCTCGTTCAGCCATTCCCACACCACCACGGCCGAGGCCAGGAGCATGGCGAGCCCGGGGCCGTGGCGCGGCGCTGCCCGCCTCCCGGGCCCGGCCTCCTGCGCTTCCTCCGGCGCCGCCGCCTCCGGGTCTGGACCGCGCCCCCCGCTCCGCTCCCCGCTGCCGCGGGCAGCCTCAGCTGCGGCCTGTGGGACGCGGACCCCAAAGGAAGAGCCTGCTCTCTGGAGGAGGGCTCCTGTCACAGCTCTTGCAGCGAGCACTACACACTTACTCAAAGGGAATCCTGAAGTCCTGGCTGGAGAAAAGCAACAGCACCAGGTTCTGTGCAGGTGAAGCAGAGGCAGGGGGACCCTGGGAGTGTGGAGGAAACCTGTGGGATTCCTGGCTTCCTAGGGGCCAAGCCCTGCGGAGGGCAGACCTCAAGACTTTGACAATCAGAAAGAAGCTGCTGGTGCCCACATAGGAAATGCCCTTGTCAAGAGTTGTTTTTCAAAACACTCTTCAGTTGGAAAGGCAGACTTTTCAACCCCCATGAAGAGGAGTTGTCCACTCCGGAAACATGTGTCTCGAGCAGGCTGCTTACCACTTGCTTCCTGTTAGTCTGAGTGGAAACACGAAAATTTAAAATATTATGTTGTTGTATTTCAGGGCACTCAGTGAGAAATGCACAAAACGTCTCTTTAGAATACATGCTTATTACATGCTGAAATGCTAACATTTTGGAACCGAATTACTAAAACACACTATTAAAAGTTAATAGCAACAAGAAAAGGGAAGGTTAGGGAGATGGTGAACTCTACTGATGCACATTTTCCTCTTATCCTGAGAGGAAAACAGCTGTGCTGACCGGATTGACAAAACCCAATACCTTGTGTAGGGTAGAGTTTCTATGGCAAAGAAGATTGTAAGTCTGTATAAAAGAAACGGCTTCCTTCCATTTTCAAAATGTGCGTGCGCGCGCGCGCGCGCACACACACACACACACACACACACACACACACACATCACACACATAATATATTACATTATATGTCTTACTCACCACACATGCATAATACATATAAATACATACATACATTAGACATTTAGAAAGTTAATGACGAAACAAGGTAAATCAAAGTTTACCCCAGATAAAAGAGGTTCAGGAGAAGGAACCATGTGCTCAAAATCCCTAGGATGGTTAAAGCAGAGGGTCCAGGAGACTAGTGAGGTCAAGAAGTCACACTGTCAGGTGCAATTCAAGAACCACCACCACAACAGGCTCCTTGCAGGATCAGAGCCGATGCTAGGCACTGCAGCCTGACTGAGCTACTGCTGCGGGTCTGGCTATCCATGGAGCTGGTGGCTGCACACACACACTGGAGATAACCAACTGTTGGAAGCAAGAGGGCAGGTACATGTGGTGGGTATGACAAAAGCTTTATTTTATTATGCGGAGGGTCATCACACAAGGTTTACACTCTAATTTCCTAACTGTAGACCTAAGGCGATCTCCTCAAGGCTGCTCACCCATAAAATATATCTTAGCTTAAGGTCAGGTCCAGTCTCTAAGAGTGTCTCTTATTTGAGGGTCAGGCCCCCAGAGGAGACTGCTGCAGGGCAGGTCAAGATGGCATCTCTCCAGCATGCATCTCCAACAGTCCTGAGGATATGTGAAGTAGAGCATTGCTCTTGGTCTCTGATTATATACTGTCCTCATTTACTGTCCAGTGGGCACTGTGGAGGTCTAGTAGTGTGTTTGGTTATCTTGAGAGAGTGATGTCACTGGGTTCTGGTTATTAGCCTTGGGTGGAGTGGGGTTCTTGCCTAAAATATTTTTACATGTCTAAAAGGCATTTTTTTTTTTTTTACTATTTTTATCACATCAACACTGTTTTTCTGGTCATTGATGTCAGAGGATGGAGAGGAAAGATGGCCTCCACTCACTTTTTATCTGTCCAAGAAGATGTGAGTTCACTCACCATGGGGGTTCCTGCAAACCTCTGCTGCCAGAAGAGAAACAAGGAGCAAGAGGCAAGGAATAAGCCCATTTTGGCACAACTTAGCTAGCTGATCTGTTCAAACTTCTGGAGTCTGACTCCAAGCAGTTTGTTTTTACATTATTTAAACATAGCACAACTTTGGAAAATTATTTTCCTGTGACAATGATCACAACAAAGCTTAAGGCTTGGCTATATGGAAAGTCCTTTACAGAGTACATATCGATTGCAAAGTTCCTGTGATTCACCCACAAGAATGGGTTCTATTGACTGAGAATTATTGGTGAAATTATTAAGGCCACGCCACGTAGTTAAAAGGAGATTTATTTATTTATTTATTTATTTTTTTATTTTTTTTTTAAAATTTATTTTGCAATACAATTCAGTTCTACATATCAGCCACGGATTCCCTTGTTCCCCCCCTCCCGTCCCCCTCACCTTCCCCCCAACCCCCCCCCCCCCCATTCCCATCTCCTCCAGGGCAAAGCCTTCCCCACAGACTGAGGTCAACCTGGTAGACTCAGTCCAGGTAGGTCTAGTCCCCTCCTCCCAGGCCGAGCCAAACAATCCTGCATAGGCCCCAGGTTTCAAACAGCCAACTCATGCAATGAGCACAAGATCTGGTCCCACTGCCTGGATGCCTCCCAAACAGATCAAGCCAATCAGCTGTCTCACCCATTCAGAGGGCCTGATCCAGTGGGGACCCCTCAGCCATTGGTTCATAGTTCATGTGTTTCCATTCATTTGGCTATTTGTCCCTGTGCTTTATCCAACCTTGGTCTCAACAATTCTCGCTCATATAAACCCTCCTCATTCTCGCTAATTGGACTCCCAGAGATCCACCCGGGGCCTAGTCATGGATCTCTGCATCCAGATCCCTCAGTAGTTGGATGAGGTTTCTAGCACAACAATTAGGGTGTTTGGCCATCCCATCACCAGAGTAGGTCAGTTCGGGCTGTCTCTCGACCATTGCCAGCAGTCTGTTGTGTGGGTATCTTTGTGGATTTCTGTGGGCCTCTCTAGCACTTTGCTTCTTCCTATTCTCATGTGGTCTTCATTTACCATGGTCTCCTATTCCTTGTTCTCCCTCTCTGTTGTTGATCCAGCTGGGATCTCCCGCTCCCCCAAGCTCTCTTTCCCTCAACCCTCGCCTTTCATTACCCCCACTCATGTCCAGGCTGTTCATGTAGATCTCATTCCATTTCTCTGTCATTGGGTGATCCCTGTGTCTTTCTTGGGGTCCTGTTTTCCAGGTAGCCTCCCTGGTGATGTGAGTAGCAGACAAGTCATCCTTGTTTCATGTCTAGTATCCTGCTATGAGTGAGTACATACCATGTTTGTCTTTCTGAGTCTGGGTTACCTCACTCAGGATGATTTTTTCTAGATCCATCCATTTGTCTGCAAACCTCATGATACCATTGTTTTTCTCTGCTGAGTAGTATTCCATTGTGTATATGTACCACATTTTGTTTATCCATTCTTCAGTTGAAGGGCATCTGGGTTGTTTCCATGTTCTGGCTATTACAAACAATGCTGATATGAACATAGCTGAACAAGTGCTCTTATGGTGTGGTTGAGCATTTCTTGGGTATATGCCCAAGAGTGGTATAGCTGGATCTTGGGGGAGATTGATTCCCAATTTTCTAAGAAAGCGCCATATTGATTTCCAAAGTGGTTGTACAAGCTTGCATTCCCACCAGCAGTGGAGGAGAGTTCCCCTAGCTCCACATCCTCAAAAGGAGATTTATTTAATGGCTTAACTTACTAATTAAGGGATAGGTAGGTCTTGGGGTCTGGGGAAGGTGTATAGCTGTCCAGTGGTGTTCTCTGGAGCTCTGCTTGGCACACCTCCACCATCCAGGGTCCCTGAACAGAGAGAGTGCTGGCCAATCCAGATCTGGGGTCTCCAGGTGCCTCCCTTGGCCCTGCCTTGTAGGCGTGACAGTTGCCAAAGTCTCAATGGGGGTTGGAACTTCCAGATCAAAGCTGGAATGGCTACCCAGGGTGAACAGGTGTCAATTCCTTTTGTTGATGAGAAAAGCCTGTGTGTTCAACAATTCTCATTTCTCTACTGCTATCTGTACATACATGGACCTCTCGCCTTCTCCATCTTGCATGGACAAATATGATTTATAGTCAGGACGGACTCCTGAGTTAGCCTGAGATTCAGCTTTTGGTGTTTCAGACACTGAACATCATGAGCAGAAAGGGACAGAGGCTAAGCGAACTACTCTCCCTAGCTGCCCGAGTAGGGTTAGTGACTGCTGAGCTGGAGCAGTGTGCAGATGTCCTGGAACGTTCTCCCTCTGCTGGCAGGAGATGCCACAGAGGGAATGAAAGGAAAGAGATGCGGATGGTCAAAGGATTTTGAAATCTTGTTAGCAATCATGAATCACTCTGCCAGTTATGAAGAGAGAGGAAACTACAGGTTTAGAATAGGAAATACCAAACTTTCTGTAAGAGTGTGCATGATCCGTTAAGTGAGGCTTGAGGTGGCTTCAAAGTTTTAAAAAGCCAGTGAGAACAACACTTTTGGAAGCTGATTGGAGTACTAATTTTCATTTTTCACTGGGTCCAAATCCCAGAGTCTCATGCCTGCTAGCCAAGTGCTCAACCAGTGAGCCACATTCCCAGCCTTCTTTTCGCATTAAAGTGAATGCTTTGACAGTCAGAAAAATGTATTTTTGCCTTTAGAAAACTACTGAGAGCTGCTGGTAGCAGAAGGCCATGGGAGTATACCGCAGGTGATAACTAATGTTCAAAAGGTCAACCTATCAGAACCAAGGATTCTGGTGGAGGAAACCATCACACACGGCATTTTGGAAGTACTGCCTTTTGAATGACTTGTCTATTTCTTGTTGTAAACTTCTTATGCATTTATACTATTATATCTCCAATCACAATACATCTTCATGTAATGTATATATGTAACCTCATGATTACATCGCAATCTTATGAGCACATATATCTGTGGGTGGTCAGGAAGATGACTTTTCATTTAGTTGTATAATTTTGATATATAAAAAATACACTAGTAAATGCTTCATAGCCAGATCCATTTCGCCATGATGCTGTTGACACTTAAAGTCTGCTTTGTTCCTTTTGCTCAGACAAACACAGACACAAAACACCCTAAGAAAAGCCTGCCAATTCTACGCTTGCCAAGTCTGCTGATAAAAAGCTATGTCTCAGAGTTTGTGGCCCTGGGGACTGTGCCCCCTCCCTCTGGTCCTGAGACCTTGGAACCTTGGGTTACCATGGTAATGGCTCTCCACCTTATGGTCTATTCTAGGAACGTGCTATGACCTTGAGGGTTTTGAAACTTTTCTCAGGATTGCAAAGAGTGTCCTGTTAGAAATGTGAAAAGCCAGGCAAGAGAGGAGCTAAGAATGAGAGCTGAAAAGAAGCTGTAGACTTAAGAGACATGGGAGAACGGCAGAGAGATCAGAAAGATTACTTAGAACAAAAAAGAGATGGACTGAGCATGCCATCACTGATTCATTTGATATCCTTAAGATTAGAATCCCACTGCTTGTAAGTGCCTTGTCTGGACTCTGGGAGAAAGTTTTTCAGGACAGGCACCCCGAAAAGCATGCTATAGAAAAACCAATTCTTTTAAAGAGAGAAAACGGGGGCTGGAGAGATGGCTCAGAGGTTAAGAGCACTGACTGCTCTTCCAGAGGTCCTGAGTTCAATTCCCAGCAACCACATGGTGGCTCACAACCGTCTATACTGAGATCTGGTTCCCTCTTCTAGTGTGGAAAGTTACGTGGTGGCAGAATGTTGTATCCATAATAAATAAATCAATCAATCTTTAAAAAAACAAAAGAGAGAGAAAACAGGAACAAATTCTACCCAGCCCTCAAAAACCTACACTATACATTTCTACATCCTGCTGATTTATACAATCTTCATTGTCCATTTCTATATCCTGCTGATTTATGTAGGTCTCATTGTCCATTTCTTCACCCTGCTGATTTATATGGGCTTCATTGTACATTTCTATATTCTGCTGATTTACACAATTTTCATTATACCATATTTCATCTTTTTGCTTAATATCATCAAGGATGGATTCCATCCTTGTACCAAACTCAATGATATTGTAAACTCCTCTTTCATGCTCACAAATGAAGCCAGCAGTATGCATGGCCACCAGAGAACCGTTACAATCAAATACTGGAGATCCAGAAGAACCACAATAAAACGTATTATAGGTAAAGTCATTAGGGTTGTCAGATATTTCTTGGAAACTTCTCTGAGTATACATATGCTGGTACTTTAAAGAATGATTATGACCTGCTGCTTCTGTTCCAAGAACACATTGCTGATTTTTCTCTCTTGGTTTACCTTGAGGGATCCCTGTACAACCCTCAATAACCCTTTGTCCTTTTGGATAGCCAATCATGTATGTCAACTCCCTGGGGCGTACAAGAGCTATTCCATTATACAGTCCGGCAGGCACATGTTGTCCGTTTTCCTTCAGTTTCAGGACAGCGTAGTCAAGAGTTTCATCAGATATGCCAAGCCAAGGTTCAATGCAAAAACAACTGTTGAAGTTTGAGGCTGGCTCTTTACAATCTTCATCATCAAATGTCACCCTTACACATTGGCTAATTAGTTCTGTAAACTTGAGTGGCTCTCTTCCTTCTCCCACAATGTCATTTAATACATGGCGACAAGTGAAAATGTACAACCCTCTAAAAACGAAGCAAGTGGCACGACCCCTGTTTCCGTTGTTGTCCCAAACTATGAGCCCAGTGGAATCAATGAACTGTGAAAGAAGTCTGAAGACTTTACTTGGAGTAGAGCTTTTTGTCAGTTCCAGGAACTTCCTCTTATGGGCTTTAAAAAGAGACTGTTCTTTACTATTTTCACTTTCTTCCTTAATGTATGCTCTCATTTTCTCACGTTCTGCTGTCAGTGTGGGGTACAAATTCACAATGTATCCTTTTAACTCACTGAAGTTTCTGTCCTCTAACTCAGAATTCTGAGGTGCTGCTACCGCCCAAGGGCTTTTCTTTCTTTCAACCTCAATCAGAAAGAGCTTGCCCTGTAACACATCAACCGGCTGGGTGTTTGCTATGATGGTATCATTGTGAATGAGTTTCCAATGGTCACTCTCCACAAAGGAATGAAACCTGCCATCCTTCCTCAGAGTGGCCTTGATGGTCTCTCCTTGGAAGCCATACACACAGACTTTGGTCCCCTCCTTGTCAAGTTCCCTGCACCTCAGGATCCTTTGCTCCCTATTCCCAACTGCATGAATGTAAAATACAACACACTCAGCAGACGACTGGTCAAGGCGGCCACACACTTCATTATTTTCTTTCTCCTCACTTTCAGTTTTGGAAAAGGTAATGACCACATGGCTGCCTTCCGGAAAACAGCGGAGGGGCATGCCAAGGTTTATGTACCCTTCTATTCCTTCTTTGCCACACACCAGCATTTCTTTGCCTGGCTGTCTTTCTATCTCTCTTTTGACAGGGTCAAGGGTGCTGAGCTCCTCATATAAACTACCTGTCCCCCCATGGATGGGAATTTGCATAGGTGCCTCAGGGCTTACCCCCAAGGTGATGTTGATCATTTTATTTGGGAGAGTGGTCTGATCTTGTCGAGTTTTCTTAGGGGAACAGAGTCTTTGCTCTTGGGTGTTGGGTATCTCATTTGGTCCTTTTTGAGATCCCATTTGCATTTTCGAAGTCGGGTGGTCATTCTGCTTTTCCTGAAGAACCTAAAAAGAAAAAATAGATACTTTAAAATTTGGATTCCAACTCTATTCCTTAGTCTCCTTTGTTAGTATGCAATTCAAAGAATCAATGACTAGGTTTAAATCAGGATTTAACCCAAGATCCAAAATAGAAGCCCAGCCTCCTTAGCTTATCCATCAGGTAATCTCTTCCTATTGCACATGGCTCCTTTCCCAAAAGAATGGGCAATAAGAAACACAACTGTTTCCCACATGTTCAACTGTCTACCAGCTTTCATAAAACCTATTTCAAGTATTTTATTTTATTTTCATCAATACAGTTTTTATCTTTGCCAAACATAGCAAAGGATGCTATCTACATTTTGTAAGAGATTTTATTTGTATTTTTAATGTGTGTGTGTATGTGTAACTGTGAGGGCTTGTGCATGCTAATGCAGTGCCTGCAGAGATCAGAAGAGGGCTTCCTATCCCATGGAGCTAGAGTTCCAGCCAGTTCTAGCCTCATGATGTCAGTGCTGGGCAATGAGCTCTAGTTCTCCTTAAGAGAAGTACATTCATTCAAAAAGCAAGCCGTCTCCTGAGCCACCCATTGTAGTTTTTCTGAGACCAGATTTCACCCTGTAGCTGAGGCCACTCTAGAATAAAATCTCTAGCCCAGGCTGGCCTCAAACTCATGATTTTCATGATCTTTCCATTTGTGCTCAGAAATCAGGAATGCACTACCAGGTTCACCTTCAATATATTCATAAAAAAAATTGAGCAGAGATATGTTAGTGTGATTTAGTTTTTATTTTCCTTTTTATTTGCTCTTTGCAAGCATCTGTTTGTAGAGATTTTGTGTGTATGTGCATGGGTGTATTCGCATGTGTGTGGGCGCATGTTTGCACAGTATATGGAAGTAAGCAGCTGAATTTGGGTCTTTACTTTGATCACTCTATACTCTATACATTGAGTCAGAGTCTCTTCAAACCAGAATTCTCTGATTAAGGAATCTAGCTAGCCAGCATGCTCCAGGGTTCCCCTGCCCTTCCTCTCAGGTGCTGGTATTACAGGTGGGCTATCATGCCCATACAACACTGATCCCGCACACTTCTGTGGCCAATGCTTTACATCTGAACCATCCCTCTGGGTGTTATTTTATGATTTATTTATCAGCCAGCAGTGAAAGCAAAACAACTCGATCATCTACCCAGGTTTCTTGGACAGATGTAAACACATCATCTTTTTTTTTTTCTTTTTGGTTTGTGTTGTGCATTTGAGACACTGTAACCAAGTGTCTGGCCTGGATCTGGACAAACTCTGCCTCTGTCTTCAGAGTGCCGGGAATACACATGTGAGGCACTTTGCCTGCTTGATATTTTTGAAAGGAAAAGACAGGTCCTATGTGTGCTTCCTAGCTTGTTCTGTCATGGAGTAGGACAGAGGAAAAAAAAAAAACAGACCTAGAAACAAAACCCTCATAGAATTTCTAGAACTCAGACAAGAGGGCACAAGCTGAAGGACTGGCAGTCTCAGCCTTGTATTACCAAATCAAGAAGCATGTTAGACTCAGGAGAGTAACAACATCTGCCCTGTCAGCAGAGGCTGCAGGGCAGGAAGAGCTCTGACTTCAGGTAAGCAACCTTTCCAAGTCCCACCTGCCTCAGCCAACCCCTTCTTTCCTGTCTCGCCATAAACAAATTGGAGGTGGAATCCCCTTCACCTACTTCAGGAGGTGAGGGTGAGAACTGATGTACAGAAAATCATGTTTATAAACTTTACAGTTTATAGCACTTCACCTGCTATGCCAATGTAGACGTTGCTGGGTTCAGAAGATGAGCCATACTCGGGGTAAGATTTTCATGCTCTTAAGTACTATAATTTTGTTATTTCTACAGGTTAATGTAACACATTGCGTATGGCCTTGTAAAAATTTTTGTTTCAAGGACTGAAGAGGCAGCTCAGTGACGAGGAGTTCTTGCTGCTCTTCCAGAGGACCCAGGATCGGTTGCCACCCACAGAGCAGCTCACAACTGTCTGCAACTCCAGCTCTAGGGGATTAGACGCCATCTTCAGGCCTCTGCAACCACACACATTTCAGTGTATGTAATATTTCCATACTAATAAGGCCAAGTCTAAGCAGGAAGATTATGTGGCCCAGGATCTGGGATGATTAGTCTAGTATGAACACACCCCACAAATCCACAAATGTTTACGGACCTACCTGGGACGAACGGTTTGTGACGTTCATGTTTTTCCTTAAAGAATTGTGGACCTCCCGTGACCTGTACTTGTTATGGCTCATGGTGGCTTGCAGATGATGCAGATGGTTCACCTGAAATGGTAATTTCAAAAGTTTCAGGTGACAGTAGTATCTTCACAGCTGTCACACAGTGTACCCAGGAAAAAAATGAATTGAAGTCCCAACCCCATCTTTCCTCTTCAGCTTTCATGCCCCAGCATGCTGTTAGCATCAGATAGTTTATCCACCAAGCATAATGAGTCAAGTATAAAAGCAAAGGACTATAAGTCGGGCATTATATCAAAATATCAAAATCTTAACAGAAATTGTCTCTAATGGCTCACCAACAGAACTGTCATGGAAAACAGGGTCCATCTAGATGTTTTGATTTTTGATTTTTTCCTCAGACAGAATATCTTAGAAAAGATTGTGAAGTGCCCAAGTCTACATCTCAAAACAGAGAGGACACTAAAATGTTGGTAACAATATCCCAGGAAGAAATTTACATTTGGAAAAATCAAAAGTGTGTTCTAGTAACAGAGATATTAAATCTCATCTTTGAATTTATAATGTTACTTGTGTGTATGTTTTTGAGGCTGACCATTCGGTTTTGGATAACCAGCTAGTGTGCTCTTCCCTAGGAAAGACTCTCTCTTCCACTCTCAGTATTACAAGAATTTAAAAAGAGAGTAACCTGGTGTGTGTGTGTGTGTGTGTGTGTGTGTGTGTGTGTGTGTGTGTGTGTGTGTATGTTTGTGATGGGAGGTTTGAAAGGGGGAAAGGAAAGGGAAATAATGTAATTTTATTGTCATCTAAAAATAAAATAATTATTTAAGGAATTCTGATCTCCATTGAAGATGGAGATACAAAGTGACAACAAATTACTGGGAAACAGGAAAGCGAAAACTGAGTACTACCCTGAAAAATTGAGTTTTAGCAAGAGTTATCAAAAGAAATCTGGGAAAAAATGCATATAAAAAGATATTTAGGAGCCTTAGTAACTGCTATCTTTTTTATTTATTAATTGTTTGTTTCTTCTCCCAGGACAGGATTTCTCTATGTAGCCTTGGCTGTCCTGTGCTGTGGGATGGTCTGTATGTCAAATTGCTCTGATTGGTCAATAAATAAAACACTGATTGGCCAGTGGCCAGGCAGGAAGTATAGGTAGGACTAACAGAGAGGAGAACAGAGAAAACAGGAAGGCGGAGGGAGTCACTGCCAGCCGCCACCATGACAAGCAGCATGTGAAGAGGCCGCTAAGCCACAAACCACGTGGCCAGGTATAGATGTATGGAAATGGATTAATTTAAGCCATAAGAACAGTTAACAAGAAGCCCTGCCACGGCCATACAGTTTGTAAGCAATATAAGTCTCTGTGTTTACTTGGTTGGGTCTGAGCGGCTGTGGGACTGGCGAGTGACAGAGATTTGTCCTGACTTTGGGCTAGCAGGAAAACTCTAGCTACAGTCCTGGAACTTACTCTGTAGACCAGGCTGCCTTGTAATTAGAGATCCACCTGCTTCTTCCTCCTAAGTGCTGGGATTAAAGACATGTGCCCTTTGTTGAAGGAAGTATGTTTCCTCCTCCCCCCCAACTCGCCCCGCCCCCAAAGTATTTCCCTCTGCTGTCTCCACCAAAATAAAGACATTTGTCATTTTCTTTCACTTGCTAACTTGGAAGGCCTTTCTTAACACACCTAGCCACCCCACTACTCCTCAATGAGGAGGGAAGAATGATGTCCCAGGCCCTATGGTAGCTCCAGAAGGAAGCATCCTGTTCTGTGGTCAGCTTCATAGCACACACAGCCAGCACGAGTATCAGATTCCCAAGAGCCCATGTCTGCTCTCTGTGCACTTCTTTTACTCAAGGACAAAAACAACCCAACAAAAATAAAAGCAACAGAGACAAACTACAGTGTTGCTGGTTAAAGGTAGATTTGGGGAGGCCAAACCTAAAAACTTTTCAACAACTGTTTATACAATCACCAAGGTTCCTTAAATGTTATCTTTACCTTAGAAATAAAAATACCGACAAGCCAAACACCCTAATTGTTGTGCTAGAAACCTCATCCAATGACTGAGGGAACCGGATGCAGAGATCCACGGCCAGGCCCCAGATGGAGATCCAGGAGTCCAATTCGGGTGAAAGAGGAGGGTTTGTATGAGCGAGAAGTGTTGAGACCAAGGTTGGATAAAGCACAGGGACAAATAGCCAAACAAATGGAAACACATGAACTATGAACCAATGGCTGAGGGGTCACCAACTGGATCAGGCCCTCTGAATGGGTGAGACAGTTGATTAGCTTGAACTGTTTGGGAGGCACCCAGGTAGTGGGACCGGGACCTGTCCTCAGTGCATGAGCTGGCTGTTTGGAACCTGGGGCCTATGCAGGGACACTTGGCTCGGCCTGGGAGGAGGGGACTGGACCTGCCTGGACTGAGTCTACCAGGTTGAACTCAATCCCCAGGGGAGTCTTTGCCCTGGAGGAGGTGAGAATGGGGGGGTGGCTGAGGGGATGGTGGGGAGAGGGGCGGGAGGGGGGAGAACAAAGGAATCCGTGGCTGATATGTAAAATTAAATTATAAAACAAAATAAAAATTAAAAAAATACCAAAAAAAACCCCAACAACAGCGGCAGAAGCACAAGGACTGATATAACATCTACCTTCTTTCCTCTGGGACTGAGAGTTGCCTCGAAGAAGGCTGAAGTGATGTTTCTACAGCACACACGGGTGCTGCGGATGCGGACTTCCTTGGTCTTTGAAGTTGGGCTCCCAGAAACCTGTTGATAGAACAGAATTCGGATTCCTGCTCTTGGGGTAATGAAAAGAACCACTTCACAGAGTCGAAGCTGTACTGAGAGAGAAGAACAAAGTTAGGTTCAGACAGAGTGTAGCACTTTGTCACGTCTTGCATCCTCATTCTAGAAAGAGGCCCACTCCCGGAAATGTGCTTGCGAATAAATCCCTGAGAAGTTAATTTTAGGGGTGACTCTTAAAGGGAGCCACCCGGTTTACAGACGCCAGCTTTAAACATCAGAATGTGTTCTCCCTTGAGCCCTGGTGATCTCTGACTCCTCTAAGAACTGCAGAGAGCACACAAGTGGGCCTGTGCTCTCGGCACAGCAGGCACAGTGCACTGGTCTGCCTCCCTGATGCCCATCTGAATGAGGTTTTTCTGCATTATTCCACCTCAAGTAAATCCTCCAAGTCAGCCCCCAAACGAAGAGTAACTCACGTAAGCAAAGCGTTCTCTCCAAACGGAGCGGTCACTGGCCTGTGCTTCCGACTAGAACCGCGAGAATCTCTGCTAATGGCAGCTCTGAAAAAGGTCGCCCAAGACAGCAGAACCGCGGGACGCTGACGGCTCTCATTGGCTGTGCTTGTGCCACTTCTTGGTGGCGGGAAAGGGGTGACTCCACCCACTGACTAGAGAGAGCACTCCAGGCCCCTGAGCATGCTTCTTCCTGTTGGAGGATTAAGAGTCACAGCCAAGTTGCAGCTGAGTAGAAGGGCCCTTTCCTCTGCAAGTTTCCTCTTTATTCGTGAGTATTTGAACATCCCCGTCCAGCCAGGCCCTCTCCAGCACTCCCTCCCCCGCCCTGGTGTTTAGAAGTCCGGATGCAGATCTGACTACAAGCTAGGGGGAGGAGCCAGGGTGCAAGAGTTCCTGCCTCTCAGCTCTCCCCAGGCAGGAACTTGGTCCGCGGGCGTCCTGAAGTCCTGGCTAGGGAAAAGATGCAGAACCAGGCCCTAAGAGGACATCTGCTGCAGAGACCCTAACCATTGTGGCCAGGTAAGTGAGTGAGTTCTGTGAAGGAGAGAGTGACATCCCTTTTAGGTGGCAGGAGAAGGCTTTGAGAATCAGGAAGAAGCTACAGATGCCTTCAGAGCAAATTCACTCTCGTGACTCTGTTTCCCAAAAGAACCCGAGTGCCTGCTGCTTTCAGTCCTGATGAAGAACATGGTGTCCACTCCGGAAACATAAATCTTAAATATGCTGTTAAGCCTAGTCATGTGTTTTTGCAACTGAGAAATGATATAAATATAAAAATATACCACTGTATGAAAAGGCACTTTGTATGAAGAATACGGGTTATCCAAACACACGTAGTTACTCCGTGTTGAAATCATGAGGCTTTGTAATTGAGTGAAATAAATTATAGTACAAAGAAACTAAGCAGAGTAAAAGGAAGCAGGGAGCAGGAGGCACACTTCCCCATTTTGCTCCTACGTCTGGGTGATGCTCGGCTGTGCTGAGTAGAAGTCAGTTTCTTCCTTCGTTCCTTCCATTTTTTTTTTGTAGTTTTTGAGATTTATATAACTACTTCCTTTCTTCCCTTCCTTTTCCTCCTTCCAACATCTCCCATGTACCTCACCACAACCATCTTGTCTTCTTTCAAATATGTAACAAAGTGTGTGTCTGTGTGTATACAATTTGTTTGCTTACAGTCATGGTATGTGTGATTTTAGGGATGATATTGGTGAATTTGTGTCTCTTTCCCAGGGAAGCCTATTTCTCCTGCTCTAAGCATTCCTTAGTCACTTATATTTCTTTGTCTAGGCATGAGGCCTCATGAGCTTCCCCCTTTCCATGTTAACATGTCTATTGAGGTCATCCTTATTAGGTCTTGTTTAGGCAGCCATGTTAGTGAGACCATATGTTAGTTAGTGGGTGTAACTCTTCTGACATCCTAGGAGACACAATTACACAACAAATTTCCTGTTCTCTTGCCTCATATTCTTTCTACTCCCTCTTCAGGAATAATCCATGGACCTTAGATGCAGGAGTTGTGTTAAAAATGTGTCAGCTGACACTGGGCTCCACAAATCTACATTTTAATCAGTTGTGGTTTTCTGTAATGGTTCTGTCTGTTACAAAGAGAAGCTTCCTTGATGAGATGTGGGGGTACACTTCTCTGTGGGCTGAGGGACAAACCTTTAGAATGTAGTTAGGGATTATGCTGGTTTAGTAAAGTAGCTGTTTTAGGTTCTCCTCCAAGAGCCATGACTTCGCTAGCCCTGAGTAGTGGACTAGGTTTCTAGTACCAGACATAGGTTCCCTCTCGCTGAGCAGGACTTAAGTCCTATCAGAGACCTTTTTGCTACGGCCAAGTTCCCATGCCACTGTGCACCCTTGTGGGGTCATTATTCCATGCTGGTCACTCTTGTGGTTCATAGGCATCACAGCTGGATAGGACCAGTAGTTGCATCCCTCCTTTGCAAGCTTGCATGACATCTGCTTCCATGAAAATCTGTCCTCAAGATGTTCAGGGTCTGTCTACCAATCAAGCAGGCATCTTGGTTCACGTTGAGGACTGAGATATAAGCTGTTTGAAAAAACATAATTATCTTGGTCAGGCTGTCATTTCTGTGACACAGATAATTTTGTGTGGGTGTAAGAGAAATTAATATCTCCTGTTTAAAACTCATTTTTAAAGAAATCCAGTAGTTACTCCTATGTAATTTCTGATAGACACAAAAATCAAGAGTTTACAAACAAGAGCTCTGAGCTGGATTCATGGTTCTTTCATAAAGAAACATGTCCATACTGACAGTCCAACTGGCTGTTAACTGTCAAACTCCAGGTTGGTGGAACATAGAGTAAAGGATCTTGTACAGGAAATATTTAGGATGCACAGAGCAGTGGGTTCAGGGGACAGCAGTGAAATCACTAAGTTCAAGAACAAAGCCTCGGAGGTAACTCTGGAGTCAGGAAGCTGCATTCATTAGGAAACAATTTTGATCTAACAGCCTCCTCACAGCATCAAAGCAAATGCCAGATCCTCCAACCGTGACTGAGCTGCTGCTGCTGCTAGAGCCTTGGTTATCGGTGAAGCTGAGTGCTCCATACTGACACCGAGGTAGTCTACACTGTGATTTCTACACACTGACACTGAGGTAGCCTACACTGTGGTTTCTACACACTCACCTTTCTGTGACTTAGCTTGATTGGAAATGGAGCAGAAGCAAGATGGCCTATACTTTGTTCCTGCCTTTCATGGAGTATTGTAAGTACAGAAGAACCCGATTTATATTAAGAAATCACTTTCAAATTAGCTGCTTGAGAGTCAGCCTTTGGTATTCCAAACTCTGAAGGTGATGAGAAAAATGGGCAGCAGCTGGGTGACTTTTCTTACCTGCCAGAGAAAGGTTAGAAATTGCTGAGCTGGGGGAAAGAAGCAGAAAACCTGGAACATTCTACTTCTACTAAGAGTAGAAGCTGGTGCCATAGATGATATGCAAGGGAGAAAAGTCTGATTATCAAAAGACTTTGAAGTCAGAAAGTAAGAATCTCTCTGCCGGTTATCATGATACATCATCCTAAGCATTTAGAATAGCAAATTCAAATTCTAACCCTGGCTTGCAGCAGAACTCCAGCCAAGTGCCCCATGCCATGAGGCTAGGGCGGGTGGAATGAAGCTGAGCAGGGGTAGGAGATCCTAAATCTGGCATGCAGTGGAACAATAATGAATTGTCCATCTCACACCATGAGGCTGGGGTGGGATGATCACAGCCAAAAGCACCAACCAGGACCCTTTGGGCAGTATAATGATCTCCTTGTGATGAAGAAGCATGCCCCAACCCAGTGTCATAGCAACCTGAGTGAGACAGGGAGAGTCACATGTAGAGATGGGGCTGCCCACCCAGGGCTCTGAAGAGAAAACACAGGACTCAAGTGGTACCTTGAAGCACGAGCCCATGGATAATACTAGAGTGAGCAGAGTGAGCAGAGTGCCTTATGGGAAAGAGAGGAGGCGAGAGGGGAAAAGAGGAAAGGGGAGAGGGGGAAAAGGAAAGGCAGAGCACACAGAACAGAATTGTTCAGGTCATATCTGAAGAGATGAGAGAGGAAGGGATCGGGCTGAGACGGTGAGGGAGCTGACCCCTTGATGAGCTGCAACACACAGGAAAGCGAGCCCTGCATTTTGTCTGGGAAGCAGAGAAGAGATGACCCTGTTGATGAGAGCACAGGTGAGCCAACCTGAGATCTAGCCCCACCCCTCATCTGCCACATGGGGGCATGGGCTGGGGAGAGATGCTCTCCCCACCCCTCATCACACACACACACACACACACACACACACACACACACACACACACACACACACACGCACGCACACCCCATGTCCGCCCATCAATGCCTGTGCCAGGTGGGAGAGCAGTCCCTCTGGTCATAAGAGGAGGAGAGTTCTGTCCCTGAACCCCACTAGCTGCAACACTCAGGTCAGCACAAAAGAGCCAACAATGTTAGTGCAGGTGTGGGTGAGCCAGCCCCGAAATTGTGACCATGTGAAAGCTGTCCCCATTTCTCACCTGGTGGACCAACCCTACAGCTGCCCAGGCCCAGACCTAGGGTTATGAGTTGGCCTCTTCCAACATCCACACCATCTATGATCTGCTGGAGCAGGTGAAGGGACCTGACCCACAGACCCAAAGCTGCAGGGTCTCCACAACACAGAGCTGCAGCAGGATGTCCAGGAAGAGTCCTAGTGGGGACCCAGCATCGATCCTGTAGTGGAGACCAGGGGCCTCGAACCAATCATACCCTGCAGCAAAGGTGTACACATCATGACTTGTTGGGTTGAACTACAGCTTCCATGAAGAGATTTTCATTTTTTACCTTTTAACGTTTTTTTTAAATTTTATTTTCTTTCTTTTTTCTCCTGATTTTTTTCTTATTGGTTGGGGGGTGCAGGGGTGTAGGGTGGATGTGAAGGGACGGGGAATGAATGGCATCAATATATGTGATGTGAACGATACATAGAATAAATAAACATAAATTAAAAAAAATAAGAATAGTATATTCGATGGCTTTTGTAAGGTATGGTGAACACAAGCTGAGCATTTTAAGTAAGTATGAGATGTTTTCTAATTTAAAATGCTAGTGAGGAAAACAATATTCACTATTGACTTGAATTCTAATATGTAAATTTTACTGGTGATTAATCTCAAGACCTTGTGTATGCCAAGAAAGTGTTCTACTGCTGAATCACATCCCCACCTTACTTTTAATTTCTGATTTGGCGATAGAAGTTCAAGGTTGGCCCTTACATATATGGGAGCCCACCTGTCTTGGAACTTGTGATTCTCTATCATGAACCTCTGGAGTAGCTGATTACCAACTTGTGCTATAAGGCCCATCCATCAATTTCTTTTCTGTTTTAATACTCTCTGGGATAGTCTGATGAATTTGAAATGAAGTCTTCTTGTTATTAGTATTCTAGTTATTGTGACCATCTTTTGTCTCTTCATTCAACAAATTAACTAAGCTCTCATTTTTTTTCTATTTAATATTAAAAGAACAGAATACACTAGGCAAAGTCTATCTTGGCATTTATACAA